GTATAATATCTATCATTTTAATAAAATAATATCCATAAATGAACAAAGAGTCATAATTTACTTACATCTCTAAAAACAAAATTTTCGACTCGATACAAATTGAATAATTCATATCGAAAGCAACCTTTATCCAATTTCATAAAGACACATGCAATTTCACGATTTAATCAAATATAATTCTCCTGCGAAATAATTATTAATTATATTTAGATAATGCAATGTAACACAATGATAGTATTTGTTTAATAATATACAATGGATATTTCATTTAGAGAAATATTTAAATTTATTGGACAAAAATTTTAATAAACCCTTCTTGGAGGATTATTTTTCATACGAATTCTTCAATTAATTAATACACAATTTATAATTAAAAAAAAATAGTGATCAAAGATATACACTGTAAAATATATACATATACCTCTTACGATTATTGGAAAAAGATAGGATATTATTTCGTGGTTTCAACAGGATTTCCATTTTATACGATAAAAAGAACAGGGTGGCTCGCGTTATTCTTCATTTTGTCGCGCGATTTGTCTATGTAAAGGTATAAGAACGTACGGCATCGTAAAACGAAGGTGGAGAACACCAAGGGTGATAGAACAGCGTTCTCAATGCTCTGTGATCTCCTATCACACGTACACACGTACATACGCACCCATACAATTGCTGGATAAATTATCTCGTATACACGACACCATAGTAACCTCTTCTTGAAAGGTATATCTCTTTATATTTATGTAGAGAAAAATTATAATTGATATCTAACTATGACTAAAGAAGAAACGTGCCTGTGCAAAAGTTTGGTGAAAGAAACCAATCGATGGCTGGGAATGTGAATATGCATATGCATATAAAGTTTTCATTTAAAGGCACATATAATAGAAATATTTTAATTATAAATGAACACTGGAATAAGTGAATATTTTGCAATAACTTTTTTTTTTTTTTTAAATTTTTTAAGTACACTCAGGAATTGTAAACCAAACTATGTAAGGAATTATATTCACAGAAGAATTATCAATCTCAAAAAAAAATAAAAAATAGACTAATTACTTTCCAAAAGCTCCTTCATCAAAAGTATTTGTAAAAATATTATAGCTATCTCTATCCCTATTATATAATTGACAAACATTTGCTAGTAAAAGTTACTAGTATTATAGCTATCTCTATCCCTATAATTGATAAATATTTGCTAGAAAAAGTTACTAGTATTATAGCTATCTCTATCCTTATAATTGACAAACATTTACTAGAAAAAGTTACTAGTTACATTTACTAGAAAAAGAACCACGAAACATGAGATGAACATGGCACGAAAATTGATTCGACACAGGAAAAAAAAAGTGAAGTTTGACCTAACGAACTAATCAGCAAAGGCTTACATACGTCCTTCGTTAGCCGCGACACATGTATCCGCATATAGGCTTTTCTACAATGTATTTAATGTATGCGAAGTCATTCCTGATTCAGCAAAGTTCCACGGCACAGGATGAATCATCCCCTCGTGCACACCGGCGCTCGAGCACCGCGATAACGTAGGCACTTTACAGCCTCGAACGAGAACGACTCGCTTCCTGTCTCCCTCCCCGTTCATCCTCCTCGTCCCACGCCCGAATTCTCCGCATCTACCTGTCTCTTTCCTCCTTTCGCTATTAATTCGACGTGTTGCTGCGGCAACTACGATGTCAGCAACATTACCCGTTCCTGTATCGATGAGATAGAAATGTCAGTCGAACGACTAACGAGGATCCCACACGAAATTTCACTTGCAAGATTTCTGAAATTTTCGGGTGTTACAAAATTCCAAATTGAATTATTATCAGATTATTGAGAATGTTGAGAAATATGTAATAATATTTCGGATAATATTATGGTAAATCTGGAAGGGTTAAAATAAGTTAAAAAAAGAAAAAAAAGAATGTATAATATAAGCGTGTTTTTTTATATATCCGAGTTAGAATCATGGATGATCAAATTCGTGTCATGTACCAACAGACGGTATTGCAGAGTTATCTTCGTGAATGATAGTGGAACCGCATGGCCATTAATTTCAATTCAATTTATTTTTGATTTTTATTTCGCGATCTGCGATAGAAAATACGAAATAAATTTAAGGTTATTCGAAAAATAATAACGTTATACTGTGCAATAGTATTTAATCATTTATAAATCGAAAACTAAGTTCTTATGATTTATTCATTTATCATTCATTTCTTGAAATAATTATACGTATTTCTAAATCATCCCGCATAATCAAACATGTTTATTTACCAGTTTAGCTAATTGTCTAATGATTTCTATTTCGTTTGTTGTCGCGTTTCTTTTGTTTTTTCAATTTGAAAAATGATTTTTAGAATTTTAAAAAGATTTGAAAACTTCAAAAGCATCGCGGAAATATTTCAAAGAATCAATCCGAGGGCTTTCAAAAATATTAAATAAATCTTTAGGGGTCGAGCTGAGGCCCCTGGATACATCCAATAACTTCTTAGAAACTCGAAACCTTATGGAACTAACGATACCCTTGAAACCATTGAAACTTTCCGATACTCTTGATATGATACCCTGGCAACGTTTGGAAACTTTTGGTTCCAAGGTCAGTGATATTCGACCTTATTCCATTCTCGATCGTATATATCGTTCAAAATCATCCACGATACGAAAGATCCTTTTTTTCAATCCATTCGTTTCTTTCATTTTATACAAAACCAACATGTGGTGGCGATTCACGTTTGCTTTCAATTATAACCGACGAAATTGAATTTTTTTTTAATTAAAAATTAAATCGTATAACAACTTCGCCCATCGACCCATTTTTCTTTCTAACAGAAATTTATTCTCTTTTATTCTCTTTGTAAATTCGTTATTTCGCCTGTTTATTTTTTTATTACGCAAAATTTCCAATCATTTCCGAACAGCAATAAAACGCAATCCAAACGCAAAACTATTGTTGCAACGTCGCAACAAATTTATCTTTCGATCCATTTTTTTTTTTTTTTTTTTTTT